TTCCTCTCCTCCCATTCCCTCCCCCATCCTCCCTGCCTCACTCCTAATCCATTCCTCCTCTGTTTCTGTTCAGAAAGGGATAGGCCTCCCATGGATATCAACAAAGCATGGCATTATTAAGTTGTAGTAAGACTAAGAATCTCCCTTTGTATTAAGGTTGACATGGCAATTCAGTATGAGGAACAGGTTCCCAAGAGCCAGCCAAAGTAGGGACAGCCCCTGCTCCCGTTGTTAGGAGTCACACAAGTAGACCAAACTACACAACTGTCAGATATATGTAGAGGGCATAGGCCAGTTCCTTGCAGGCTCCCTGGTTGTTGATTTCGACTCTGTGAGCTTCTATGAGCCAGATTAGTTGTTTCTGTGGGTTTTCTTGTGTTGTCTCTGACATCTCTGGCTCCTATAATCCTTCCTCCCTCTCCTCTGCAGGATTCCCTGAGCTTGGCATAGTGTTTGGCTGTGGGTCTCTGCATCTGCTTCCATCAGTTGTTGGATGAAGGCTCTCTGATGACAACTGGGGTAGTCACCAATCTGATCACAGGGATGACCAGTTCAGGCTGCGTATCCACTATTGCTAGAGTGTTATCTGGGGTCATCCTTGTAGATTCATGAGAGCTTTCCTTGTATCAGGTTTCTGCCTAACCCTAAAATGCACCCCCTTTCCAGTTAACTTTCACTACTCTCCCCTTCCTGGACCATGGCAACTCTTATAAAGGAAAACATTTAATTGGGTTGGCTTGCTTACAGTTCAGAGGTTTAGTCCATTATCATCATGACAGGAAGCAGGGCAGCATGTGGGCAGACATGGTGCTGGAGCTGAGAGTCCTTACATCTTGATCCAAAGGCAACAGGAAGCCGGGCGGTGGTGGCACACGCCTTTAATCCCAGCACTCGGGAGGCAGAGGCAGGCGGATCTCTGGGAGTTCGAGGCCAGCCTGGTCTACAAGAGCTAGTTCCGGGACAGGCACCAAAGCTACAGAGAAACCCTGTCTCAAAAAAAA